ATGTAGTAGTTTAAGTTGAGAATTACTGTCTTTAAGCGGAAAATGAAGTCACAGTCTTGGAGGGAAAGCAAAAGACCAGCAAATACCCAAGATCCAGTTGTGAAAAATTACCAATTAGCAAACAACTTTTTCGCGGGTTTACTGCTAAACGTGCGATAATTGCTCTATTTCAATGGACATTCTTTGAGTGAATGGGGTAATTGTTTCTTAGAACTGCTGCTTGTGTCTAATTTGCGTAGCAATTAAATAGAGCTAGAAGCAGTTGTATTAGAGGAAAATCAGGTGATACAGGTGAATGATGAACTGCAAGGTGACTTAGGTTTGCAAGCTGTTGGGTGCGTTCAGACCACTGAGGAGGATGAGGCTTCGGCAGAGGTGACACAGGTGACTGATGAGGGGGTTCAGGATGAGGAGGTAGTGCTGGTGGCTGATGATGGAGCTCAGGCAGAGGTGATACAGCGAACTGATGAGGTTCAGGCAGATGAGGTGTTATTGGTACAGGTGGATGACGAGGGAGTTCAGGACAAAGAGGTGATACTGGTGGCTGATGATGGACTAGTAAGAGTGATTTCCTAAAGAGAAGATTTTATTTGTATTGTATCTGAACTTATCACCCCTCTCTCCATCTCATGTTTGGATCTGTAGTCATGTAAATTATCATTTTTTTTTTCAGATAACTCCATGTGAATCATGCAGGGCAATGAAAGCAGAATTGACTCAGCTGAAAGCTAAGATGACCCGGTTTAAGATTAAACTTTCCTCCAACCAAGAGCAGTAGGTTCAAACATTCAAAGTAATTCTAGAGCAGAATCGTCTTTTTATGGTCAATACTGGTAAGATTACAGGTGTCCTGTCAAAAATGAAACTGATTAATCTGACAAAATTTATTTCCAGGAAATTACCTTTTTTCAGGCACACTACACTGATTTTCTGGTTTTTCTAATTTCTCATTTACATTACAAAATTTTTTGTAACATTTAAGCTGTCCAAACCAAACCAGTTGTTGAAACAGAGGATACTAGCCCGACAAAGTCTATGGATCAACCAACTGAACAGGACAAAGATTTTGATGAAGACACAACTGACATCAATAGCACTACCTGGCATGAGGATGATGACCCTACCTGGGACCATGAAAAAAATTGATATTGACTATCAAAAAGTTAAAGATGAAGATGACAGTGGCAAAATACATGAAAACCCAAGGTAACTAGCACATTGATTAACTGACCAAAAGTATCTAAAAACAAACCCCAGAGAACTGAATAAAAAAAAAGGGGCTTTATATTTGCAATAACAATTTATTCAATTTTTAATAACAGATACATGCAATCACTCTTACAGTTTATTTCATGTAATTAAGAAATGTTTCTTTTTATTGCCTTTTAGGCCACACATGGAAGGAAAAGACATTAGGGAAGAACCAAAGGGAATAGTCTTTCTATCGAAGTTACTTCTGCTGTTTGAATTCTGCCACTTGTGCTTCTTTCGCAAGCCTAAGATTGCTGTTACACAAACAGGGACCATGTTTACCATAGAATCAGAGTGCAGCAACTGTGCAGAAACAGTCACCTGGAAAAGTCAGCCAGATCTCCTGGGTCCGTTTCCTGCCCCAAATCTACTGCTGAGCTTTGCGGTGTTGTGTGGTGGCACTTCAATAAGGAAGGTGCTTTTGGTGTTTCGACACATGGGTTTGTTGGTTTATCAGGAACCAACATACTATTACCACCAAAGGCACCTCCTTATTCCATCTGTAGTGGCTTTCTGGCGAAAGTACCAGAAGAAACTACAAGATATGTTGAAAGACCAAGAAGTTGTGCTGGCTGGCGATGGTCGCCATGACAATATGGGGCACTCGGCCAAGTATGGAACATACACAATATTTTGTTGTACCATTGGTTTAATCGTCCACATTGTCCTTGTGCAGGTACATCATTCTAAATTATATATATTTGATTAAATATACATTGTGTCATTCCAGAAATATCCATATATAGCCAAGGATGGTCATTGGCAATTCTCGGGGGTGTCTCGAGAGCTAAAATTTTCAAGGGAAAGTATGAAGAAAAACTGGAAATTCCGGGCAATAAGAAGGGAATTTTGTCCAATAATTCCTAGAAATCCAGAAAGTGCTGATAAAACTAAGCAAAGAAAAGAACTGTGAAATTATTGGCAGATGGAGAAAAGCGTGTGTGCGCCAATTTTATTGGGCCGTCACATCTACTAAAGAGACCCTTGAAGGATTGAAATTGGCAAAATTCCATGCCTTCCTCTCACATGTCCTCAACAAACACACTGGTCTTCCTAACCCAGCATTCAATGCCTGTGCACATGGAATCATCACAACTCCACGTGTATGGATGACCAAAGGTATATAGGAAAACAATTATGTATTGTCATAGGCTCTAGTCACAGACTGAGCTGGTTGAGCTTTAGTGATGCTCTTATTTTTGTTGTACATTTTGTTCATTTAAATTGCCAATCCCTAACAGAAATATAACCTTTTATTAGCACATCAGTTTTATCATATTTGCAAAACTGTAATGTTTCTTAGTGATATATCAGAATAATTTCTTTTAATTTCATTAGTGTCAGAGGCATATGAGAAATTATATGCAGCCCTTCACAAGTCATCATTAACCAAAGCTATTGAAAAGGCCTCCTCAGTTGAGCAAACTAGCTGCCTAGAGGGCTACCATTCTGTGGTGAATCAATTTGCCCCGAAAATGTATGCTTATATTCCTACCTAGGAATGCTGTGTAGGTTAGTAGTACCATGTTTGAAATTCTTAAGCATTTCTTAACTATAATAATCTTAAAGAAAAGCATCACAAGCTGAACAATAAGATTCCAGGTCCTGTTAGTGAAAAATGGTACATTGTAAGTTGGATCTAGAAATAATAATTTTTGAATTTTTTAACCTGAAGAAGGCCAAAAGACGGAGACCGTGTAACAGTCCAGAACAGTCCAAGAGCTGGTCTCTTCATGACATTCTTTGCACTTGTGAAACAAATTTAAGTGGAGACGTTGTATGCTAGCATCCTCAAAATGGTAGTTTGCAGTTATAAAAATATTTTCTGCTCTGATCATAATTTGTGACGTGCTTATGATGAAATAGATTGTCTTTTGAACAGATTATGTTGCAGAAATCTACCAAACCCTTACAACCACCCCAAGGGCAGAACTTAAGTTGCTGAAAGAAGAGGTAAAGCATGAAGTCACTGATCCCATGCACAGCATGCTGGAGGATAAAGATGATAAGGTGGAGGCAATTATCAAATATAAGTGACGGAAAGAAAGGGAAACAGTAATAATCCCGCCTACATGCACTGGTACATTGTTAATTGTTATTTGTTTATTGAAATGACGTTTAACATCATGGCTGGTTTTTGTAGGGATTAGTTTTCTTGGATTCATGTGAATGTACTGTCTCTGATAGCCTTCACATGCAAGTACACTGTAGGCTACATGGTATTCCAGCAAACAAAATACTACTGGGAATAAAACAAAAGGGATGTGTTGGTTCATTTTGCCATAAATTTTCCTGCACTGATCTGTATTATTAATTTTTTTCCTTTTATGGTACATGTTACATCAGAGGAGGAGCTTCAAGAGACAAATGAGAGGAGGACGGCCAGTGGTAGAAGACCTCTTCACTGTTCAAAGTGTGGACAACCAAAATAGGGTCACAAGAGGGACCAGTGTCAATCAGAACACAATAATTAATGCTACTAGATTTGTATTAAATTTGCAGTGTGTGGTTGCAGAAAACAGCCATACTTCCCCCATGGAAGATGTTTCATTTTAAANGATCTGTATGTAGCAAACAAAAGTGGAGAAATAATGACTATTGGGAAGAAGACATTGGTTGGAAGTGGTGGAAAAGGTTGTGGGTATATGAAATGTGTGGTTAGGAAAAATGTATTACGTTCATCGTTTTTCCTGGGAATGTTTTAATAGTCTTATACTTAAGAAGAAGTGATTGATCATTTCAATTACTGAATATTGCCTGGGAATGTTTTAATGGTCTTATACTTAAGAGGAAGTGATTGATCATTTCGATTACTGAGTTGGGGAAGTAGTTTTAGAGATAGAGAAGTAGTGTTAGTTTGTTGATATTTTAACAGCAAGGAAGTGGTACATTAAAGAAGAAGCTGTTGCGATCCAGACTTCAGCTACCCCTTTGTTCAGCGAGTACTCTCAAGCCATCTTCCCGTAACATACCAGCAAATGGGTGTCCTGTATACACTAGTGATCAGCTTCTCCTGCATTCTGATGAAATCAAGGGGCCAAGGGAGGCGTTCTTGCTGTTCTTTGCTCCCATGGTGAAGAAAGCAAGCGATGCCTATGGACGCTTTGGCGGTCCAACTGAGCTTGTGAGGGGTTCGTCGATTTTTGTAGGAAGAAAAAAGAAATTGAAATAGTAAGTGAATTACACACCTGTCTCGGAAAGTTACATTACAGATTATTTCGTTTGCAACAATATTTTATGGAGTGTCACAACAGGACGTTTTCGAACCCCCCTCCACCCCTCTACTTATCGAAACCAAAGTTCAACTAATGCGCCCTTGACTTACGACTTACGTGTTCCTCCTTTTTTTCCGAACGAACAACTACTTAGATTTACAATCCAAAAAAAAGAAAAAGAAAAAAAAAAATTGATACTAACCCGTCTCTGTCAAGAAAACGGACAAAAAACTTGCTGCGAGGCTAGGTTATGTTATTTGGGTGACAGCATGCTTCGAGCGGCAACATTCGTCGACAAGATAAGAATTTTTTGAAAACATTGCTTGTTTAGCGCGCGGCAGTCACTTATTGGGCTCTAAAAATATCACGCGCATTACTAAATTACATGTCGACTTATCAATGTGTAAAGATATTCAGAGTTTTCTGGGTGTGGCCCTACGCTTCAATTGAGCCTTGTCCAGCTGGTAGACCCAGAGAAAACAATTGTGGCCGGGATTAGACCGCATACCAACCTCGTTCCCAGGGCTTTTCCCTTTGGGGCTTTTCCCTTTTTGAAAATTTTGTGGGGCTTTTCCCTTTGGGGCTTTTCCCTTTTTGAATATTTTAGGGGGCGGGAAAAGGCCCTGGCATCGGCTGACGAGTTCTCGTTTTTGATTGGCTTACGAAATCTGATAATTCATGCTTATTTTCGTGGCGCGATTAGTAAGCCTTAACGAATATGGCGGAAGGTACCGCCGAAATCGAAACACCGAAGAAGTTTTCTTCGAGAAATCCCTTGTGTAGACTTTGCTGTGAGGCCACTGAAAGTCGACACATGGTCAAAGTATTTGGAAAAGCTGGTGTTAGTCAAGAACTCGCTTCGAAAATAGAAAGTACATGTGCTGTTTCGCTTCGCGAGAGTGATTATAAGTTGAATTCTGTGTGCCGCAAATGCATAAACTTCGTAAACAAGATGTACGATTTTGTGAAGAAAACGAGAAGTGTCAACCAGACCATCTATTTGCAGCCAACGGACGTCTCTGTAAAGCGTTGCATTGATGTTTCACCTTCGTCCTGCCAGCAAACGAAGAGGAAATCTACGACGCAAGTGACAGCGAAAGAACTCTTCCCTCCCTCCCAAACCGCCAACGCGAATGAAGACCCGATGTCTCAGGACGAAGTAGTCCCAATTATGGATGGAGAACACAACTCAACGGCCGTGAATGAGGCGACATTGACAATTACTCAGCAAAGAATGCTTGTAAGTGCCGTAAACTCAAGGGATGCTGCTGTTGTGGCCATGATATTACATGATTACTGCACAAACGTTGTAAAAGAATTGGATGGTCTTCGCTTCA